AAGCATAGCGGATGAAGTTTAGCAAAAGAGGAATTATGTTAGTTAGGTAAATATATTGTGTGGAATACAATTAAAATATGTGTATATATTCCAAAAAATGCCCTTGAACAATATTAAATATCTTTGATATAGTTGTTTTCGTTATATGGTAATGATTATTTATTGGCTGCTTGACATCTAGTTGGAACTATTTATCCATAATAGGATCAACATAATGAGTGAGGTGAATATTGCAACAACATCCTGAGTAAAATAGTTATATTGCTATGCATGTAGATCTCAGTGTAATGAAACATTCCCTTAAAATACCTTAAGTCCTTTAACCACATTCACATGCATTATTCTGACTTGGCAAAATACATTTTCTTTTTGCCCCTGAAACCTGCAATGTATTTCAAACTGGAAGTAATTGCAACAATAATACATCCCTAATTATTATAAGCATGCCAATCTCAATACCACCACTTCGGTCTCGAACGTTGGAACTTTTAAATTTTGCCCTTACAAAAGAGTTCTGATTGCATGTCAATAAACTAACGAGGGGATATGGGGTTTTCATCAAAATAGGATTAATCTGTTAATCTGTAATTTTTTTAAAAATCAGGTGCATTTAATATTAATTTCATCCAAGACTGATAGCTCTATTTATGTCTGTTGTAGTCTGAGATTACTCTGATGTCCAAAGGCTGTTTTGCCAGACAAGCTGGGGCCGTGGGACAACAACACCATATCTTGTCTGGCAAAACAGCCGTTGGACGTCAGAGTAATTTCGGACTATGTCTGTTGAAACAATGATCGGGGATGACAATGCTTTTAACGAATACTGATGTGATTGTGGTAATCTAACGAAAGATTTTTTATTTTGTCTCCTAGAACAGGTCTTCATAGAACGAAACGCATTTAAAATAACTGTGTGTTCACACACTACTTGTCCTCGGCAATGATCTGACACGACTTCATGTTGGCATCCCGATTTTTGACCTTTTATTTACAAATCGATTTATCACACGTGCGTTTGAATCGATCGGCGCAATATATGCACAAGAAAAACGTCTATGAGAAAAAAAATGTCAAGGATAAACTAATTTTGGAGCGGCATGCGGCCCAAAAATTGGCGGAAGCGGTATTTATTTTTTTTTATTGAAAAGTCAATTTCTCCAAAACAGGAGCGGGAAAATCCAAAGAACTATTAATCAAATTGGTGTGGCCTAATATAGAATTGTGTTAGTAATAGTGCAACTAACTATGTCGGCCTTTCTTCCAAATGAAACTGTGTAAAACAAATAAATCCTGTGCACATTGTTACTTTAAACTAAAATCATACAAATGAACTGTGTGATTAATTATCTTTACTTTTACATACGAATAGAAAATAAAAGATAAGACACAAAACAATATCGGATTACAAACAAAACTTCGTAACTAAATACATGAACGCTGGATAAACAATACCGAGACACGTCTTATAGCAATGTGAACTAACACTCAGTAAAACAGTCATATTCGGGAATAGGTCACGTTCGGTACTTAAAAGACCAGACGACGTAAATGGTTAACCATAATCTAAGACGTGGAAAACATGTCCTTAGTTAGTTTACACACAGACACAACGTATGGATCAACCAATTTGTGATGGTGTCCATAAAATTTACGGAGTGTCATTTTTAAAATTTTGAAAAACTACCACATTCGGGCACTATTCAAGCAAAGTGGTAAATTTACGTTTCGGTGACCGTCTGTAGTTTTGTTTTGTATCACGTCTTCCTGAAAGTGGAGTTAAGCTTTCATAAGTAGAAGTTGATTTTATTATCTTTGTCTCAGGAGGATATTTTGAAAACGGAATATTCATTTTCACCTGTTGCAAGGCTTGCTTAATTATGTGCTGCATTTGGCAAATTTTTTTTTCCGATTTCATATATTTTGTTTTGCCGAATATTGATATACTTTCCGCTTTCTATAGTATATATTTCTATCCGTCCGTTCTTTCGTTCGTTCGTCCGCCTGTCCTTTTTTGTATCTGAGGTATGAACTATTTGACAGAATTTTGTGAAACTTTCACTAATCTTACTCACGTGATGTAATTATCATTGGATTCCGTTATATCATCACACTATAGTATTCACTTATATCTAAGGAGTACTGTTGGGTTCATACAGATAAAGATTTGTGGTTTTAAAAGTCAAGCGCTGGAGATATAAAAGCAAGCGCTCGATATGCAACATGCAGTGCTGGAGATGTAAAGTCAGTGCCAAAGATATAAAGTCCACCAAGTGTTACGCAATATAGGAGACACCAATTAAGAAAAAAAAAAACACGAAGGGAAATAAGGAAAATGCAAAAAACTAGATAGAAGAATTTTAGTGTGTCGAGTTTTTTGTCGAACACGCCATCGGACGTTTAAACACATTTAGGGTTATCGGAACATTGTGGAGACATCCAAGACACGAATTAAATCAAATTGTGTAATTGTGTGCTTGGCTTGTGGAGAGACAAACTGAGTTATTTGACTATTAAACATATTCTATTCGTATCATTCAATGTATATTTAGGTTTGTAGCCGTAAAATCCATATTCCCATTCTTTACAATTTTATATATTTTATTCAAAGTTATGTTTGCACCCCTAACTCAATAAAATGCAAATACATATATTAATATCTATGAAACGCCCATTCAAGCCTTAAAAGTTTGAGTCAACGTTAACTGTTTGCTAGATTGTATAAAACACAACACAAAATGGTAAACTATTTTACACCTGGATACTATGCAATTGTATTTTGAGAAAGTCCACACTTATATCTTGTATTGGTATTGTTATTCAACATCAGCGCAGTATTTAAATCCCTTTCCTAACACGTCTAACAAAGGTGTTGATTGTACTATTTAACAAAATGATGTGGTTAAATGGCGTCACATGTCACTTAAAGGATTTATTTACAAGTTGCAAATGTTAGAAGCATAGTTTTACGTCTCCTCGTTTTCTTTTTAACGACGGTACGGAAAAGAAAACTGTTGTTATGACAAAAACTGTTCAAAAGCAAGAAAAATCTCCGAATTTATAAACTTTTTGCACTAACTTTGATAGAAATAATTGATTTGAAGTGGGTACCAGTACTTTACAACCTTTTTGGCGACGCACGTGTTTCAAGCATAGTTTTACGTCTCGACTTTTTCTTTTTAAGATGGTTCGGAAATGAAAACATTTGCCACAAAGAAATAAATTCAATTGTAAGAAAAATCTCTGACTTTAGTCTTTATCCTTCAACTAGACAGGAAAATATATATGTTCCCAGAAGTCAAAAATTATGATTTCATGATCTATATTTCAATTTTACAGTATCTTTTGAAAAGTAAATGTTTAGTTGTTTAATTATGTTTAACCCCGCCGCATTTTTGCGCCTGTCCCAAGTTAGGAGCCTCTGGCCTTTGTTAGTCTTGTATGTTTTTTAACTTTAGTTCATTTATATGTTTTGGAGTTTAGTGTTACGTCCATTTTCACTGAACTAGCACACAATTTTATTTAGGGGCCAGCTGAGGACCACCTTCGGGTGCGGGAGTTTCTCGCTGCATTGAAGACCCATTAGTGGCCTTCGGCTGTTGTCTGCTCTTTGGTCGGGTTGTTGTCTCTTTGACATAATCCCCATTTCCATTCTCAATTTTATTAGTGTTTATTCATTACAATGTAGATTAAAAAAAAAAAAATTTGTAGAATAATCATAGACAACAATGGGGCAAACTGATTTTTTTTTGTTAGAAAGAAAGAATTTCTTAGAAAAATATGTTTATGTTAGTTGTTAGTTGGCGAAAAAAATTTAAAAGTGGTGAAAAATATATTGTTTTGGCGTAAGAGGTGGCGAAAAAGAAAATTTACCCAGGGGAAACCCTCATCCACACACACATTTACTTCATTGGAAATGGACTAGTCGCTGAAAATGTTCAGAATGTGTTTTATTTAATTTCATTATTGTTAATGTTATATAATTTTTCAAAAGGTTTTCCAAAGCAGAATGAACGGAAATGTTGATTTCTACAGAGGATGGAGCGATTATGAGATTGGGTTTGGAAATTTGAAATCCGAGTTTTGGTTGGGTAATTTTTTCTTTCTAATCCATTTAAAAAACACCTTGTCCTTTTAGCAAATTTATTTTAGCCATCTTTGTTAACGTATTTGTATCCTATTCGAGTATAAGTTTTTCTCAACTTTAATAAAGAAAAATTGATAAATGATTTCTTTGTACAAGCATTTAACAATGTCAAGGGGAGACAATACACGTATGATCTAAAGGTTATTATTTGAGCATGCTAATTGTTTAGCTTAATCTTTTGGAATAAGGTTGAAGCTTATTTTCATCAATAAGGCAATTGGACATTTATATCATTCAATTGTTTACACATGTCATAGATTAAATCAAAATAACGAATTAAACACCCACCCAAAATAATAGATTTCTATGATTTGAAAATCAAAACACAGAACAAAAACACTTTTTAGTTTCTCACAACACATGAACATAGGTTTTGACCAAGACAGTTTGGGCTGTGTATTTTTATGCTGTTATGTGATGTTTTGATTTGAAATGCTTTTTTCTATAAGGATGATAGAAAAAAAGTAAAATACCAAAAATACCGAACTCCTAGGAAAATCCAAAACGGAAAGTCCCTTATCAAATGCCATAATCAAAAGCTCAAACACATCAAACGAATGGAAAACAACTGCAATAATCTTGACTTGGTACAGGCATTTCGAAATTGGTGGATTAAACCTGATTTTATATCTAGCTAAACCTCTCACTTGTATGACAGTCGCTTAGAACTGATATGATTTTTTTTCGATACAATTGAGTACAAACTTAGTAGCTTTAACAAATAACACAAGCATATTAACCCATAACGTCATTTTAAGCGCAGTCAAGAATTATAGGATATAACAAGAAATGATAAGCTGATCGATTGACATTTGTTCGCAGATTTTTTTCTTATTTCACTTTTCCACAGGAAATGATTTCATAAACGTTCTAACCTCTTCTGGAAACTACAAGCTTTACATACACCTGGAAGATTTTGAAGGGAATTCGGCATATGCAGAGTATTCCAATTTCAGTGTCGGAGATGCCACAACAAAGTATACTTTGAATATAGATGGATATAGCGGTGATGCAGGTAAAACTTCACAATTTCACATGAGTCTTTTGAATAAAGGAACGTATGTTATATATTTCAGAAGGGCATCAATCCAACACCAAACAACCTTCTATCTGCATAATAAAATCCAGAATTATACTAGTTCAAAATGGTAACTCCATTATCATTGAAACTGTATTAATTAAAGCTATAACCTGTTGGTTTTTTTTACAAAATGTTAAGTAAATTCATATTCACAAGTATTTTGAAAAGTTTTTTTCATTCATTGTCAACGATTTCAAATAATAGAATACAAAGATTATATAGATATCAGCTATTTTGGGTACTAAATATCTTCATTACGAATTGAAACAGAACGAATGCACAATGTTTGATTGTATATTTATATATATCGATATCGAAGGGTTGATTTAAATCGTTCATTCTCATAACCTTGCTGCAGCAGTTTTTGCTGTCTGAGCTTATTTGAAATTGCATAATGTGCCCCGTCATTCTATCGAATTCATACAGTGTGCATTATGAAAATCTTGCTAAACGTGATGATTTCGGTTCAAAGTCTTATTATAGTATTGTTCTGAATATGCTTATAATATTTCCAGCCTTATATAAGGGAGAGGTGAAACATACCAAAGGGACATTCAAACTCATAAGTCGAAAATAAACTGACACCGCCATTGCTAAAAAAGTAAAAGACCAACAGACAAATAACATTACACAAAACACAACATAGAAAACTGGAGACTGAGCAACAGGAACCCCACCAAAAACTGGGGATGATCTCAGGTGCCCTGAAGGTTAAGCAGATCCTGCTCCACATGTGGCACGCGTGTGTTGCTCATGTAAGTACAAAACCGATGAAATGTCTGATTAGGTAATGGGACGTGATTGTAGTAACGACAATTGGAACATATCAGTTTGTTGTCTGTGAAACAGATATTCCATAACGGTCACCAACTGCGTGAATGTTCCTACATAGAAACAGAAGTTTACAATTGGTAAGCGGAAATCATCTCTTTTGTCGTAAAGTGTTGTTTTCAACCGACCCTCATTGTCGACTTCTAGATTTAAGTCAAGATATAAGGCATACCTAACTGTATCTGTTGTATCCCGTATCTCAATTTCGATAAGATAGGTGCGTTCAACATAGTCACTTATATAATGCAGACAATAAACAATCATTTATTAGTATATGTTAATATATTTTGGAAAGATAAAATATTTCACAAGAGAAAAGTATCAAAATAACATTCAAGGCAGATCGGGTGTGTTCCACAATCTCGGATTGTAAATTGCAGTTTGACTTGATTTTTGATAAGACATGCAAATTTTGAAACAGGAATGCAACTCATCAATAATAATTTTTATTTAAAAATAGGCGGTTTATACCAAATGGGCATTCAAATCATCAGTCGAAGACGAATCTACTTTTTATGGCAAAAAAAAAAAAAACCCAAAAATTAGCCAAAAGACAGATTATAAAACAGCCTATAAAATACGGCATTTGTAGGCGCACATAATTATCGGAAAGACTTGGCAACATGAGGTCAATCTGGGTGTGATTTAAGGTACTACTCAAGGTTGAGTAGATCATTTTCCGCATGTGGCACCCGTCTTTTTAATTTATTGTATATTTACAACTATGAGCAATCATCAACAGCATATTGTTTTGTTATAGAATTTTGTTTTTAAATTAACGATGCAAGTGCATTCAATTTATACTTAAAATTTTGTTTTGTGCTAATGTAGGAAGAAAACTTTTTTTTTTTACTTTTCCTTAATTTTCTGACATCATATTATCAGAACTATCTTTGTATTTTTTATTTCAAAATTTGATTGTTAAGTTTCTTTCTTTTTACAAAAATAATGTGTAATCTGTACAATTTGTGAAACGTAGAAGCTTATCGACCAAAACTTTTTACTACTCTTAAAAAATACCCACACATTCTGCATGATATGTACGACAATTTGGAAAAGTATAACGATAATTCTAGCGCTATTAATTTTGACTCTTATTAGTTCACATAAATAATACTGCTATAATCAAAGTTCATTTGATGTACATATCTAGATATAAGATTTAAGTTTACGCTAAAAAAGAGACAGAAAATACGAAGGGTGTAAGTCAATACAAACAGAACACTATGGCCAAAAACTAAAAGAACCAAGAACAACAACCATAACAAAACATTACATAAAAAACTCCGCCTCTTAAGCACAAACAATTCCTGGAATAAGTCGCTTTCGGGTATGGTGAAATGTCTCTCTGCAAAAGTTACCTTTTTTAATAATCGTTAAACAATTCGGCTCAGTGTGTCGGTCTAGTTCAAAACAGGATCTATATTCATATCACATTATCATGTTAACGTACTTAATATGCATTTAATGTGTCACTGGACGTTGAAAAACAGCAATCATCAATTCATTCATTCATCATGAGAGGAAACGGACGCCATGGACTGTCGTATCAACTCAAAGATATATACTGTTTATGAAGGCACTGCTGGAATGTTTCTAGACAGAAATGGAAAGTTCACAATTGTAACAAAACACTTCTCTATTTTTCACAACACATGAACAAACTATTCGACGAAAACAGTTTTGTCTGTGTGTGTTTGTGCTGTTATGTGATGTTTTGTTTTTAAATGCCTATTTTTTTATTTCAAAAGATGAAAGGAAAAAGTAAAATACCAAAAATACCGAATTCCAAGAAAAATTCAAAACGGAAAGTCCTTATCAAATGCAAACTGTTACTTTTTTAACTAGTATGTTAAAAAATCCGACTCAGTGTCTCGGTCTAAGAAAAAGCATGATTTATATTCATATCACATTATCATGCATTTAATTTGTCACTGGACGTTAAACAGCCAATCATCCATTCATCCTTTCATCATGATAGGAAACTCACGCCCAGGACTGTCGTATCAACTCAGAAATATATACTGCATGTGAAGGCCCTGCCCTAGACAAAATGGAAAGTTTACAATTGTAAAATTGAAATCATCTCTCCTGTCATAAAGTATAGTTCAAACATTAAGAAACTAATAAGATATCTAAGAAAGATGTGAATCCATCAAAAACAAAGCAACCAAACCACTGAACAAAGCCACAACATCTCCAGAGGTACTTAATAGCAATTACTAAATCGCGATAAATGTTTACCAAATCTAAGACTTACCATTAAATGAAATCTCTTTAACTGCGAAAAAGAAAGACAACAACAAACAAAGTAATTTTGGATAGTCGACATTTCGTGTATTTAACTTGTGTCTATCCCATGTCGAGATTCTATTCAGAAGTTGTAGATTTGTTAATTGTTGTTTATTGTTTTGTTAGGGGTATATTGTTTTCTATTATTTATATGGATAATGTCGTACAAACGACATCTCCTAGATAGTTTATGTGTTATTCTTTTTTACCTTTTTATGCTTGGAGCAATAAAGAGGTTGACATTATAATAAAATTTATATGGCGACTTCTATATGTGTATTCATACATTCTCTCTCACACCCCACAGAGGGGCCCAGTGGTCTAAGTAGTTACTACTGTAATCACTAGCCAGTCAACACTGAGGTTGTGAGTTCGAACCCCCGCTCGTGCGGGTGCACTCGACTCCAATCTTAATTGACTAGGATTGTCAGTTTTCCTATCGAAGGTCGGTGGTTTTCTCCGGGCTATCAGGCTTCCTCCACCAATAAAAACTGGCCGCCACGAAAAAGCCCAAAAGCGGTGCTTAAAAGTGGCGTTAAAACATCAAAAATCAAATCAAATCACACCCCACAGAATAAATTATGTTATAACGTTTTTTCTCTGATTTATAGTCTCACATACAGACTGACATACTTATCGGAATATGCCAGAAAACAATATAACTTCATACCTTATTTTTTCGGTATAAATCTATTTCACTTTAATTTTTGCATGGTTCAGTTAAAAAAACATTTTTCCAAAACAAATAAAATAACTTTCATACGAAATGAGGTAGTATCACCCTGTTTTAGCAAATTTTTTCTTATATAAGTTTATATGGAAGTCAACTATATCTAATCTTTATTTATTTGCTCAGGAAATAGCCTTACGTACCACAACAGCATGATGTTTTCTACTAAAGACAAGGATGATGGCATTCATGCATACAACTGCGCACAAATGTTAAAAGGAGCATGGTGGTATAAATCTTGTTATCGTGCTAATTTGAATGGGGTATATTTAGGTGAACCGCTCTCATTTGGAAATGATGGTATCAGCTGGATTGCATGGAGAGGAAATGAATCACTGAAATCTACTAAAATGATGATTAAACGACACTAAGAACCATTTTAAGAAAGCATCACATTTTTTTGAGCACATTTTATTTATTTTTTTGAAAGTGGTTTAATGACGTAACCTATGATCAATTGGAAGATACTCACTGAATGTAAAGTATATGCCTACGGAAGAGAAATAAACTTGCTTACGGTGTTTGTCTTATTCTTTCTCATTTACAACATATTTACGTTCTGTTTAGCGAAAGGACAACTTTGAAATAGCTCTATCAGAACAATTAGAAACTAAATAAGGGCGTCCTCTTGCTACTCTTTATTTTAGTCCAAAAACAGTAAGGAAACTAATTAAAACGACACACAGTGAAAATGACATACGAAAAATACAAGAAACAACTGCACACAATCTAAAATTATCTCTGGCTCAGAATAGAAAACAAGATAAATAATACTTTTATTTTGGCCGAAGATTATTGTTCAAGTTCATTTAACAAATAATTTATAAACATACATGAAAAATAGAGTATACAAAATTGCAGACCCTACAAAAATATCCCAAATAAGTTAAATATGCAAAACAAAAAATATATATATATATAACTAGTACAATAATTAAAAATTAGGGATGGGCGGGAAGGTATCTTATCGAAAATATACCTAATAATGAGTACGAAATATCTTAAAAGTACTCACTGATCAGATAGTAACGAATTTCGAAATATTGATTGAAACGAACTTCGCATATAATTATGCGTTTTTAGAATGAAATCTTACAGTACATCAGAATACTCAGAATGAACTTAAGGAGGTAGACCTAGGTTAATGGAAATAACTCGTACGTTTGCGTCAACCATTTTACAAAAAATATTCTAAGATTCTAGGTTACATAGATTATTTCCAATCTGTTTCAGGTAAATGCTTAACATTCATTAATGGACATGACTTTTACAAACGCATAACTGATTTAAGGAATTATCTCCCTGAACCAAGGGGTACCCCCTTTAGTCTTGAATGGAAATTTTGATTTTAACATATATGAATATTCTGAACCGAAAAACGTGAAGTCTTGTTAAAAGTTTTAAGTTATTATTCAAATATTTTCCTTTTTAAAATCAGTGCTAATCAGATATTCTACCTGCAATCAATCCAGTACTGTTCAGTAACTTTTCCGGCAATTCAATATGTTGTTGCTTGGTACAAGTTCATAGCAACTACCGGACAGTCTGGGACTAAGACTGAACATATCTTAATGAAGGATCTTCGCTACTCTTGTTTTTTTCTTTTTGTCAGATATTCGGAATCCTCTAGTTTTATCCATGTTAGTGCCAATAACAATTTTACACCGCTTATCCTCAGTTTTCTTTTCATAAAACTATTACATATTGTTTAAAAAGCCACTTTTGAAAATCTTGTATAATCCTTGTTATTTTTTTCATAGTTTTTGAAGGAAAAAAGGTGCCAATGTTAAATATATGAAAATTCTAGAGAGAAACAGTTCGCGCCAAATTTTCAATGGCTTATATCTCGAAAACAAGCACACGGACCCTTCATTTTTTTCCTGCTTTTTCAGTTCCTTTAGTTATATACTATCAATCTATAACAGTCTTCTAAAAAGCTTGTTATTTTGAAACAGAGTAGCGAACATACTTAATTGTAATTGAAACAAAATTTTATAGAGATTTCAGGAGATGCAAAGTACAGCGAGTTAAGTGTTGGAGATGCTACAACAAACTATGATTTAAATGTCAATAGATATACTAGGACTACAGGAACATTGAAATTGTACAGCTATTTCAATTGATATGCGTGTCTTTTTAGGTTGTAAAGTTATACTACTGTCTCATGTTAGGGTGAAGGTTGGCGCCCGATAAAACGTTTAAACCTGCAGCATTTTTATGCACCTATCCTAAGTCAGGAGCCGGTTGTTCAGCATGTATTCAGTGGTTGTCGTTTGTTGGTGTGGTTCATAAGTGGTTCTCGTTTCTCGTTTTTTATATAGATTAGACTGTTGGTTTTTCTGTTTGAATTGTTTTACACTAGTCATTTTGGGGCCCTTTATAGCTTGTTGTTCGGTGTGAGCCAAGTCTCCGTGTTGAATCCGTACTTTGACCTATATTTGTTTACTTTTTATACATTGTGACTTGGATGGAGAGTTGTCTCATTGGCACTCATACCACATCTTCTTATTTATAATTATCATATATGTCAACATGCAGGAACATTGACATTTTATCTGTTTATCAAATATAGATGGAGATATGGGATATACGTCAATGAGATAGCAACCCATGAGACATGAGTAAAGCTATATTCAAGTCCTTATCGTACTAATATCCTTTTTCCTTGATGACCATTGAAATAAACTGCAGGAATGTAAAACGTTGTATTGTAACAAAAGTGTTTTGCAAAGTTTTGTAATTCATTTGAGGTTAGGTTATCATTTAAATAGAAAAGGAATATAGAACTTTTTTCTGAATACAATGTTAAGCACGTTGTTAGCATTTAATTGATAAAGTGTGAATTTGTAAGTCTATAAAACATTTAATCGAATATTAAACTGATAAAAAATTAATGAATTCATAGTTTTATAAACGACAATCGCATACAACGAGGACAATCAATCGCATTTACTTGCAGAATTAAGTTTCTTAAACTGTCATGTCCATTCACAGAGATTGGCAATATTTGGCTTTATTGGATAACAAGTGGTTATGTGTAACAATTTAAATTCCATTATCAATGTACAGCTCATGAAATTGATAATGATGAGAATGACACAATGTCTAAAACTTACAGAAACAATAATATTAATTTACTTTAAATTCGATACAACAGTAGTTAATCGATGTTCAAATCTCATCAATCCATTAAGAAGATACAAGTAAAAAACAAAAACTAAGGAAATTGCACGAAGTCCAAAAGCAATCGTAACTACTCGGTCATTCTCGCTACGCCTACTGGCCGAGTACTTACGATTGCCCCATAAGAAGCAAGATCGGCTATGTCGATAGGGTAGGCATCTCATGATCTGATTTGTATGCATCACCAGCCATTTGAATCGACACTCAGTAAAAATGTCAAAATCGAGAATAGGACACCATCAGTAAATTAACAGATCAACCAACTATTCTGGTTAAATTTACAGATCAAACGACTATTCTGGTTAAATGTACAGATCAAACGACTATTCTGGTTAAATTTACAGATCAAACGATTATTCTGGTTAAATTTACAGATCAAACGATTATTCTGGTTAAATGTACAGATCAAACGATTATTCTGGTTAAATGTACAGATCAAACGATTATTCTGGTTAAATTTACAGATCAAACGATTATTCTGGTTAAATTTACAGATCAAACGACTATTCTGGTTAAATTTACAGATCAAACGACTATTCTGGTTAAGGGCATACGATACAGTAGAGATCCCTCGTCGATTTTTTCTTGAAATGTTGGTAGAAGGTCAATTTCGATGTGTACTTTTGAAATATGCAAAGAAAAATATACCTTCATGACTTACTTTTTGAGATAATTTGGTTCGAAATTTGCATATTTGAAGGAAAAACCCTGAAATTTCAAAAATCAGGACTTTTAAGGAAAGTACCAATACTTTTGAACGAACAGTCATAATTTAACCGGGTTTTTTGTAAAATGTTCCCTTGATCCATGGCATCAGCATGCTGTAACAAGTTAACGGTTGAAATAAATAATTATATCCTAAATTCTTTTAATACAAGTGAAATAAAGAAGATGAAAATATTTTTGCGTCTACACAGAAGTGCAGAAAAAATTCTATCGTTGATTTTTTCTTAAAATTTTGGCGTAGCGTTCTTGAAACAGAACTTGATTGATTGCAAAAGAAAAAACTGGGGGTCCATGTGCTTGTATTTTCAATAAAAGCAATAAACCTTAATTTTTATTGGCAGATTGGGACGTTTGCCAATAAGGCGCCAAACTACGTTGGAATAAGTTTTATTCGCAACAACGTCGTGAAATCTTTCCCGCCGTTCATTACTACGTTGTCAATTTCAGTGGTAGAGCCAAGGTTTTTTTTTTTAAGGGCATACGATACAGTAGCAGGGGCAGATAATAACGTTTTCAAAACTTTTCGTGTTGTTTTCGCGACGTTGTTAATCAGAACGTTGTAATTTCGCGATGTTTCTAATAAGAACGATTACATTTCGCGACGTCGCTTTAGATGTAGTCACATTTGCGGAAAATCTACTGACGTCATAATCCCGATTGCGCGAAATTGAAAAAAGTACCTGCAATGAAATTCGGCCAAATCACGAGAATTGTTATATTTATTCATTAATAAGGAAGTCAACAATATTAACTTCGAATGGGAAAAAAATCAAATCCACATTCTTAACTTTGTATGTCTGTTATTTCATATAGGAAATGAATAAGAGATATGAAAAACATAAGACGTAGATGAGAGAGAAACCCAACTACACAAAAAAAAACACCCAAAACAATAAGTAATTTATATAGTAACTTCACCATTTGGCTCACAAAAAAACGTAATAAATAATGACAGCGCATCTTACTGTTCCTGACTTTGAAAAGGTACAATAAAGAGTTTAACGACATTTTTAGAATTTAACCCGTGGAATATATATGTGTATGAAGAAGAACTGTCAGTTAAAATGACACAGTTATAAGTAGATATAAGAAGATGTGGTATGAGTGCCAATGAGACAACTCTCCATCCAAGTCAAAATTTATAAAAGTAAACCATTATAGGTCACAGTACGTTCTTCAACACGGAGCCTTGGCTCACACCGAACAGTAAGCTATAAAGGGCCCCAAAAAATTACAAGTGTAAAACCATTCAAATGGGAAAACCAACGGTCTAATCTATATAAAAAACGAGAAACGAGAAACACTTATGAACCACATCAACAAACGACAACTACTGAACATCAGATTCCTGACTTAGGACAGGTGCAAACAAATGCAGCGGGTTTAAACGTTTTAATGGTACCAAACATTCACCCTTTTTCTGAAACAATAGTGTAACATCACAACATAGAAAGACACACTATAAAATAACAACTGAAATAGCTTAACTCAATTTAAGGACATATTAACACCATTGAACATAAGCCCCCTGTATTATAGCCCAAAAACAAAAACGCACCCGTTGATGTGCTAAGCATATCCTCTATGTACATATTGAGAGAGAAAAATCGG